CAGGACACCAGAGTAAAAGATGATTACAGCTCTCCTCTGTTCTCTTGCAAAAATAACATGCATTGACTAAAATCTTTCTCATTTTTCCTCAATTTGTTACTAGTCAGACAACATTCCCTGCTAGCTTCTCAAGCAGAAAACGAAACTCGGGGAGGGATTCTAGGCTTCCACATCTGCCGACAAGGGAAAATGCAACCATCATCTTCATACTTGAACAATTTTTTGTAGAAAGATTTTACAGTGAACAATCCATTCGCTAGACGATTCCAAAGTATAGAGAGAAAGGAGACACAACAACTCCTCAACTCACGATCTGCCAATCATTGAGGTTTCTTAGAACTAGTACTCGTCATTCCTTTGTCCCACTATTATTTTCCACAATAGCGTCACAGATTTTGATATTTTTTTTTACTGAGCAATAGCATAGATCTGAGGAACTGAGCTCTAAGAGTAGTGAATCATATTGTTTAGATGACAGGTCATTAAATTCAATCCCCTATATTTTATAGGGAAAGAAAAAAATGATCATCTTATTACTATAATAGACTTCCTTTTTCAACTTTTAACATTGCCCCTGGGGTTAGCATTTTTCGGTTGTTTGAAGTATAGATTTTGTAAATGAGATAACTAAGTGCATTTGCTAACATGTCTTCTCAATATCAATATGTTCAGAGTGTTCATTGACAGCATTAAGAGCTACTTAGACAGAAGGGAATTACCATGGGAATGTTGAGATTTGTGAATATTATTAGAAAGCATATAAAACACCAACATAAATCCAATCCTTCAGAAACTTAACCCACCTTAACAATTTGATAAATGGTTTATGTTTGACATGTAGCATCTAATTCTTTGCTAAAGTCTGATGGTTTTTCTGTCTACTTTTCTGGACATTCCTGTAATCACCTAATAAGGTGTATTCTAATGGATTTTTAAATACAGCCTACTTATGACAGGCATGGAAAGGATGAAGGCGGCGAGAAACATGATTATGATCAAAACCTGTGGAATAGAAATGTAGGTTGCTCCTTCTGTTTTTTTTTTTCTTTTTAATTCATGGAATATTTTTCTTTTCAATGCATTTATTATTCTTTTTTTTTTTGTATTTGGACTTCAAGCACAGGAGGACAAGCAGGAGAATAATGATGGATGGGAGACTGTTGGCAGAAAGACTTCCAGGCATCCGCATAAGGTTTATTCTGGTGCTGTTCATGGTGGAGCACCTTTCAAATGTTCATAAGTGCTCATTTGGTCTTTATTACATTATCTTAACTGCATTGCCTGTCCTAGCGAACTAATGATGAGATGAGAACTCAAACTATCAGTTAAAAAATATTTGTTGGTTAACAACAAAAGCAGTGTGTTTTCTTCCCCATTTATTTTGACGTTAGAATAGTGATTATGTGCTCTACTTCTAATAGCAAAAGGTTGAATTTCTTCCTCATGCATTTGCATTTTAATAACTAAATACTAGTCATTTTCTCTAAGGAAATTAATTGTCACAACCCGAACTTTTGGTTGTGATTAGCATTATGGCAATGAGTAGTACTAAAGACCTCCCAAGTATCCATACTAAGTATGTGAATATCAATGTGTCACCATGGACATGCTACACATTCTGTACATTATTAATTCATCACAAGCAGTCTGCATGTAGATAGCGTATAGTGTACATTAGAACCATGGTCTATAAATCCATTAAACATGTTTAATGTTTTTGAAAGAAGGGAATATGTTATTGTTGTCAATTTCAGTAGCAGATAGTAGAAGATCTAGGCTGAAACAATTGGAAACATCTACGTAACAATAGTATTAGTAATAATAATTATGATGGCACCTTAGTCATGAGATCACTGGAAACATCCACATCTAGAAGTTGGGTTGATGACATCTTTGGGATCTAAGCCTCAGAAGATAGGGTAAGGAGAGTTCAACTCTATCACCTCAACTATGTCTCAATGATAGAGAAAGGAAAGATCAGCTCTCCCACCTCAAATCTATCATAATATGCAGGAGAAAGAGAGGTCAACTCTACAACCTGATCATCACAGAACTTAGGATAAGGAGATATCAGCTCTACCACATTAACCTACTAGGGATTAATTGTAGTTTCTCAATCTTGTCATTGAACTTTGATAAAGAAGAGGTCAACTTTGCCACCTCAATTCTGACATCCAACTTAAGGGAAGAAGAAACTAATTCTACTACCTCAACTTTGTCATTGCACGTAGGAGAAACAGAAATTTAACTCTACCACCTTAACCTTTACATAAAAGCTAGGAGAAAGAGATACTAACTCTGCCGCCTAAACCTTCCCTATAAAGAGGTCAGCTTGACCACCTCAACCCTGTCATCAAATTTACAAGAAGGAAAGATTAATTTTATCACCTCAACTATGTTGTTGCACAACTGGGAAGGTTTTATTTCTGGCAATCAGACCATTGTTTCTTTGCGATTCTTTATTGTTTGCTTTTTTGTTTAGCATCATGCTGAGGATGTCGTATTCTCCTTGATTGTATTTTTCTTTCTCTTTCTCATCATTAATGATATTTAGACTCTTATAAAAAAATTAATTACAGCTCCATTTAGGAGACTAATAGTATAAATAAAAAAGAGACATTTTCCAATAGTTTGCATATAAAAGGAGACACTTTCCAACACTTTTCTTAGAGTTTTATTTACTGTTGTCACTTTATGTTTGTCCTTCTAGTTATTGCTCTGTCTAACTTTTTCTGTTTAGTTTACTTCATTTTGTAATTGTGGAGTTTTTTGGAGAATAAGAGATTTGGGGCTCGACGGAGAAGACAGATTAGGGGATGCCTATCTTCTATTTTATTCATGATAATTGTGAATGTTAAATCATAAGATTGGGTTTCAGGCATCAAGAGGATTGAGACAGTGAGACCCATTCTCACCTTTTCTATTTACTTTGGTGGTGAACGTGCTAAGCCCAATGTTAACTAGGGGGTCGAAAAGAGGGGTGATTCCGGTTTGGAGAGTGGTAACGACAAGGTTGAGATTTCTTAGTTGCTATTTGTTGATGACACAATTCTTTTATTCGAATACGTTAGAATATTATAAAATATTCCCTGTATATAATAGTATGATTATGTTTTCAAATATGTTAGCGTAATTAATAGGGTGATTTATGTTGATTATCATGTATGAATCCATCTATATGTATATATATTGTTATTCTCATTTCAATAATAGACAAGTAAGTATTCAATATTTTTCTTCCGTAACCCTTTATATGGTATCAGAATTAGGTTAGGGTTAGTGTTTTAGTGGTCAGACCAAATAAAGGTTGAACATCCTATTCCTAGCGTTGGAGGAAGTCGACCACCGTTTTTTTACTAGTTCAGATCATGGCTTGCACGGTGGTGCACACAGAAGAGGCGGAGGAAGCCTTTTTCTCACGATTTTTTGGTCTTCAAACGTCGGGTGAGTCTTGTTCGGCCGTTTCACGTGCGTGTCGCATTTGGCCCAAAGTCAGAACCTGAAGAGAAGCTCGGCTAGCCTAGTCTGATAAAAAAACCAAAAGGCCAGAGCGGAGAAAGTAGAGATAGAGTGGATAGCGTGACAACAAGCTTCTAGTTTTTAGACGTAATTTGAGGTAATTTTGCAAACACTATTCTAGATTTAGGCATGCATTTGGGTTCTGTGGTGATTTTAGCTGAAGAGAGGTATTTTGGTGATTTTCGGCAGCAGTGCACGGCTCTTCGGTGGCGACTATGAACTCCAACAGCGGCAGATGCGGCGGTGTGTAAACTTCGGTGGTTGGCAGTGACTCTAGTAGGATTATTGACAGTCGTGCATGAAGAAATACTCTATTTTCTTAGATTTTCTAGTTTATTTGCAGCATTTTCCGA